ACGGCAGGCTTGAACCACCATAAAAGGACAATGCCGGGGCTGGCAAACGGCATGGGAGCTGCAGGGAAGCATTTGGGGTGTTTTGCGGGCTGGCAAACGGCAGGCTTGAACCACCATAAAAGGACAATGCCGGGGCTGGCAAACGGCATGGGAGCTGCAGGGAAGCATTTGGGGGTTTTGCGGGCTGGCAAACGGCAGGCTTGAACCACCATAAAAGGACAATGCCGGGGCTGGCAAACGGCATGGGAGCTGCAGGGAAGCATTTGGGGAGTTTTGCGGGCGGGCAGACGGCAGGCTTGAACCACCATAAAAGGACAATGCCGGGGCTGGCAAACGGCATGGGAGCTGCAGGGAAGCATTTGGGGAGTTTTGCGGGCTGGCAAACGGCAGGCTTGAACCACCATAAAAGGACAATGCCGGGGCTGGCAAACGGCATGGGAGCTGCAGGGAAGCATTTGGGGGGGTTTGCGGGCTGGCAAACGGCAGGCTTGAACCACCATAAAAGGACAATGCCGGGGCTGGCAAACGGCATGGGAGCTGCAGGGAAGCATTTGGGGGGGTTTGCGGGCTGGCAAACGGCAGGCTTGAACCACCATAAAAGGACAATGCCGGGGCTGGCAAACGGCATGGGAGCTGCAGGGAAGCATTTGGGGGGTTTTGCGGGCGGGCAAAAGGCAGGCTTGAACCACCATAAAAGGACAATGCCGGGGCTGGCAAACGGCATGGGAGCTGCAGGGAAGCGTTTGGGGGGTTTTGCGGGCTGGCAAACGGCAGGCTTGAACCACCATAAAAGGACAATGCCGGGGCATGGCCAACGCAGGGCAGGCAGGAAGCATTGGCGGGGTTTTCGGGCTGGCAAACGGCAGGGCTTGACCCCATAAAGGACAATGCCGGGGGCTGGCAAAACGGCATGGGAGCTGCAGGGAAGAATTTGGGGAGTTTGGGGATGGCAAACGGCAGCTTGAACCACCAGTAAAAGGACCATGCGGGGCTGGCAAACGGCATGGGAGTTGCAGGGAAGCACTTTGGGGAGTTTTGCGGCTGGCAAACGGCACGCTGGAACCCCCAGACAAGGACAATGCCGGGGCTGGCAAACGGCATGGGAGCTGCAGGGAAGCATTTGGTGGGTTTTGCGGGCAGGTAAACGGCAGGCTTGAACCACCATAAAAGGACAATGCCGGGGCTGGCAAACGGCATGGGAGCTGCAGGGAAGCATTTGGGGGGTTTTGCGGGCGGGCAAACAGCAGGCTTGAACCACCATAAAAGGACAATGCCGGGGCTGGCAAACGGCATGGGAGCTGCAGGGAAGCATTTGGGGAGTTTTGCGGGCGGGCAAACGGCAGGCTTGAACCACCATAAAAGGACAATGCCGGGCTGGCAAACGGCATGGGAGCTGCAGGGAAGCATTTGGGGAGTTTTGCGGGCGGGCAAACGGCAGGCTTGAACCACCATAAAAGGACAATGCCGGGGCTGGCAAACGGCATGGGAGCTGCAGGGAAGCATTTGGGGGGTTTTGTGGGCTGGCAGACGGCAGGCTTGAACCACCATAAAAGGACAATGCCGGGGCTGGCAAACGGCATGGGAGCTGCAGGGAAGCATTTGGGGGGTTTTGCGGGCGGGCAAACGGCAGGCTTGAACCAACATAAAAGGACAATGCCGGGGCTGGCAAACGGCATGGGAGCTGCAGGGAAGCATTTGGGGGGTTTTGCGGGCTGGCAAACGGCAGGCTTGAACCACCATAAAAGGACAATGCCGGGGCTGGCAAACGGCATGGGAGCTGCAGGGAAGCATTTGGGGGGTTTTGGGGCTGGCAAAACGGCAGGCTTGAACCACCATAAAAGGACAATGCCGGGGCTGGCAAACGGCATGGGAGCTGCAGGGAAGCATTTGGGGGGTTTTGCGGGCGGCAAACGGCAGGCTTGAACCACCATAAAAGGACAATGCCGGGGCTGGCAAACGGCATGGGAGCTGCAGGGAAGCATTTGGGGAGTTTTGCGGGCGGGCAAACGGCAGGCTTGAACCACCATAAAAGGACAATGCCGGGCTGGCAAACGGCATGGGAGCTGCAGGGAAGCATTTGGGGAGTTTTGCGGGCGGGCAAACGGCAGGCTTGAACCACCATAAAAGACAATGCCGGGGCTGGCAAACGGCATGGGAGCTGCAGGGAAGCATTTGGGGAGTTTTGCGGGCGGGCAAACGGCAGGCTTGAACCACCATAAAAGGACAATGCCGGAGCTGGCAAACGGCATGGGAGCTGCAGGGACGCATATGGGGGGTTTTGCGGGCTGGCAAACGGCAGGCTTGAACTCCCTGAAAAACAGATGGCAGGGGCATGTAGCTGTAAGAGTTGTTGCCTTGGAGGCCTGCGGAAGCGTTTGGAGGGTTTCAGGCCGGTCAAACGGCAGTCTTGAACTCCCTGAAAAACAGATGGCAGGGGCATGTAGCTGTAAGAGTTGTTGCCTTGGAGGCTTGCGGAAGCGTTTGGGGGGTTTGAGGCCGGGCAAACGGCAGTCTTGAACCCCCTGAAAAACAGATGGCAGGGGCATGTAGGTGTAAGAGTTCGGCAGGAGCATGTAGATGGCTGGGGCATGTATAGCTGGCAGAGGGGTTGCCTTGATGGCGTGTGCCTTTGCTTGCGACCCGAGAGCCAAGTTCCACACCTCCGGTGGTCCCAGGCGCCGCCCCTGCCTTGGCAAAGGCCGGGGTCGGCGGATATATATTATATATATATACACATATAACATATACAGACACATATTTATGTGCAATGGGGATCATTCTCCAAGAACCAACTCTATTATTGCCAAGATCTGCGGAGAAAAAAAGCTTTGCCAAGGGAGGTGACAAACACCGCAAGCTCTTGCTGGGGGAAGTTTTCAAGCCACGGCCCTATTTGTAGATCTTGAGATTGGTGGGTCAAAACTAGTGGGTGAGATATGGTGGATGCACATCCATAAATCCCAGCTATTTTGGGGTTCACTAAGTGCCAGGGGTTTTGACCCATAGCCATGTTGCATATTTCCCAATGCCTGGTTTTGATTATGAAGAATCCTTTCCCTCGTTCATATTTAACACCCACAGGAGTCAGTAGGGGATAAAACCACATTTTTGGGACCGTAGAAGGGGGGTGTAACTCATATGAACGCGCGATAAAACTATTAGATATCATTTTGGTTGGTTATATCTCCATTTTTGCTGGTTATATCCCAATGTTACTCCGGTAACTCAATTATCACTGGCTACTTTTTTGGATATTGATCTTAAATTGATATTTGAAGTTATTCACTAGACTATCACCAATTAATCACTACATTATCTCCAATAGATTCTTTAACTCTTATTTTCTGATTAAGAGGCTTATTATCTCATGGCATATCCCAGTGATGGTCCCGTGAACTCTCCGAAAAAGATGAACCAATGCATGAAGACCATCATTCACTGGAAAACCATATCAATGGTCATTCTTAGGGGTGCAACAAATCTTATTATACAATCATTAGATCCCATGACATCCCATGACATCCATTAAATATCATTAAATATCCATGAATTCCTATGGAAATCCCATGATTTCGATGGTTTCTCCATGTTTCTCCCATTCTCCGCGGGCTATCTTTGACCCATCCTCCGCGTGGAATGCCAACCAGGAGGCCTACGCCGTGAAGGGAAAGCTGGAGCCGGGGCAGCTGGCCAAGGTTCAACGCAAAGCGGAGCTGGAACAGGTGCCCGAAACGTGGCTCCGATTTTTTTTTTTCGGAAGGTCATAGTTACCCTCTGGTAAACTCACATAACTATGGAAAATCACAATTTTTAATGGGAAAACTCACTATAAATTGCCAGTTATACATATAGTTATATAGTTATATCATGGTTATACCCCAGTTATATAGTTATATCATAGTTATAAGTTATATCATAGTTTTCGGAAACATCCTGTATACCATAGTTATACCCCAGTTATATATACAGGATGGGGGGCCCCCCCAGTTATATGTTGGTTTATAACCCCATCTAAATATAGTTGCAAGTATCATACACTATTGTTATTATAGTTATAAACCAAATTAAAAAAACTATGGGGCCCCATCCTGTATATATGGGAATATATAAGTGTGGTAATATTGGGATGTTTTTTAACTAACTATTGGGGGTTGGATGTATCCAATAATGGAGATTCCCTCTGGTAAACTAGCAGTTGGCTATTGAACATGACAATAGAAATAATTGATTTACCCATCATAAATGGTTGTTTTCCATAGTTATGTTAGTTTACCAGAGGGTATATATATATGGGAATATCATGGGGTAATATTGGGATAATAATGGGACTTGGATCATCCCCGCAGATAAGTAGGTGAGTTATAAAGCTAGTTATAAGTTGTACCCTCTGGTTATGACTAACATAGCCATGGAAAATGGCCCATTTTTAATAGGTAAACCATAGTAACTTACCATTCCCATACTAACATAGCCATGGAAGCCATGGCCCATAGAAATAGATAATTTTCCCAGCTATAAACCTCCATTTATAAGGGATTGTCCATGGCTATGTTAAATAACCAGATGGTAAGTGGATGATCAGCCTATCCCAACGAAGGGAGATAACCTACTTAGTGGAATGAGCCACCAAGTGATGACCATAATTTTCAGAATGTCCAAAGAACGATCTGGATGTTGATCGTTATAATAGTTTCTGTGTGTCAGCTATACTACCGGACAATTGTTTGCTGAATAATTTTTATAATACCCAGAATAATTATTGGATGTTATATGTTTCTTATACTTTTAGTATGTTATAGTAAAGCTGGTTGCCGGTTTTCGACTCACTTTTTTTGTTGGAAGAATGCAACCGAAATGAGATGATATGAGGTGATCGGGCCAACTTTCAAGTACCTATATCATAACTAGTTTTTGTTGGAGGGATTAAACAATAACAAAATGAAACTGAAACTACCCATATATGAACTAGTTTTTGTATTTTTTTCCTGCTGGTGCCTATATCAATATGAACAAACCACCCAGCAGTAGCCTCCAGTAATTGAACCGATGGAAAATACGCCATTGAGTTTGATGATTGTCCCATATTTCATCATCAAGTGGTTTGCTGAACCCCCAATTTTTCTGGGAACGGAACGTCACACACTAGGGGATCCAACCCCTATGATGTTGCACTGTTGCAATCACTCTTTCTTGTTGGTTAAATCATCATGTTCACCATTCGAAATGGCCATGGACAATCACCATTTTAATAGGTAAATCAGGTATGAATGGTCCATTTTCAATAGCTATGTAACAGTTTACCAGACAGTAATAACATGTAATAACTCTAATAAAACTGATGGGTTACACATGATAATAAGTAGATAACTATACTATTTCCATATACAAAAATGGTTTCAACTACAGTAGGGTATGTCAACTATAGGATATCCCTATATTAGTTTTTTTGAGGGGTAGTTGGGGTGCCAAATCTGATCCGCAGATCTTCCCACGGCTCCAGGAGCTGCGAGTCTACGAGCAGCGTAGCCACTCGCAAGGAGGACCAGCGCCTTCAGAGCTGAGGGGAACGATCATCTGGAATGGGGGTCACCGGGTAACCATTCAGAATCCATACATATATATATATATTCCGTAAAAGTCCTTATATCCCATGAGAGTCCCCGTTGTTGCCACCCATTTATGATATTCTTATGGGATATGTATATATATATATATATCATCTTGTGATTCACCAACTATGGAAATTCGCCATTGTTTCATAGGTAAGTCATGTAAAATGGGCCACTTTGCAGAGCTATGTTAAGCAACCAGAGGGTGTATACACATGTATACAGTATACATATGTACATACTTTGTATATACATATATATCCCATTGGAATATCATAGATGGTGGTAACAACTGGAATTAATGGGATGTCATGGGGATTTCATGGGTTTGTTTTTTTTCAGCAACAAGATATGATAATAAACGGGTGCAGATGGAGAACAAATCCAGCACGTCACACATTCGTTTGCATGGGACAGGGATAGACAAAATATGGACATTTCAATGAATCCTCACTGAAATGTGAATCTTTTGGAACATTCCATATTCTATCTACTTCAAGTAAACTAACATAGCTATTGAAAATTGCCATTTATAGTGGATTTACCCATAAACAATAGAAATTTTCCATGGCTATGTTAGTTTACCAGAGGGTATCTGCTACAAGAGGATTATAAAGGAACCACCTTCCAGCACATCAGACGATCAGCCAGGCCGCAACCTACACGAACTCGAGCAGGCTTGGCTGATACTGTTGATGGTCGGGATGATTTGAGATTGATGAAGCTTAGGAATATCAGTCATTTGGGGTCTATGATGATCTATCCAGAGGTTAAGAGGGAAGAATTTGGGAGCTACATGGTTACGCATTTTCCTCATTGGGAGGAGCCAGTTGGAGCTACTAAAAGAGTTTCCCAACCACATGATAGGTATTGTTGCTTATATATCCCACCAAATTCCCATGAATATTCCATTCAGACATCATAATCTCATCCTTTTGGTCCAACTGCAGACCCGTTTTAGTCACTTGTCAGGCGGAGCAATGCCGGAAGACGCATGAGCGCTACGAGCATGCAGCCACATACGTCCAGAAGGACGGAAAAGTTGGAAACACGGGAACATGATTTATCATTACAGGATGGGGCCCCCGAGATAGCATTCAGTTGCCTTTATAAGTGGCTGAATTCTATGGTTTATGGTAGATATAACGAACTAGTTAACGGGGGTTAGAATTGTTTATAAACCAACTTATAACTGGGGGGCCCCATCCTGTGGTGATAGTTTTAATGGGAACATGATAATTTTTAGGACGAAAATGGATAGTTTTAATGGAAAAGTTGGAGTTTGGCTCAAACCCTTGGGGCTTTTGTTGTTTGGAAGCATTCCAAAATCAGTGGTTTTTGCTGGGAAAATCATCTATGAGTGGAGGATTTAACCAATAAAAGTGCTGGTTTATTGGGGAATTTCCTTAACATTTTGGTTGACAGTACCGTCCTGATAATCAAAGATGGCTAGCCGGGAAAGTCCCTGCAAATGGGCATATCAAGTGGAAAAACTCATATAATTTCCTTTTCCAGCAGGCTATGTTTGAGTACCAGAGGATAGGATTTTGCGTTGGTTTTTTTCCCCCGATCTCTGTGATCTGTGGATATTTCCGGATGTGGCTTTGACCAACAATTATGAGAAAACCCAGAAACACACTAAATCTGGTGATTCGACAATGTCTTTTCCCTACTAGTTTGAAGCCACACGATGGGTACACCCCGCGTCGAGACAGTAGTTGAGTCATCTTAGAACTCAAAATCTAGATCAGTATCCTCTTCGTATTCATTATCATGCCCCGCTGTCTGTCTGTTTACCTATCTAACCCATCCATCAACCCATCTTTATATACGTATATATATAAATCTATGTCTACTATATAAAACAATAAGTGAACCTATTTATCTATACTATATATATATATCATTGTTAAATATTCTATATATATATAATTATATATACATATCGTATACATCATACATGACTTCATATCTCCCAGCCATGGTGTGCCGACGCAGGTCATGCGTAAATGCCTTGTGAAGAAGCGCCTCCCAGAGTTCCAGGAGGAAGCCAAGGCGCCATGTGGTGCGCTGGTGGCGGTTCTTGGGGAGATGAATCCGCTGGGGAATTTCACGTCAACTCTTGGGTAGCCCATTTTGGACTCGTACCATGAAAAAGAATAGAAAAAAGAGGGGAAGATGCACTTGACTTAGCAACTTTGCCCCCAAAAAAATTGCGGCAAAGTTGCACTTGACCCCTCTCATATCATTAATCACCAACCACCATCATTAACCATCATTAATCACCATTAACCACCATTAATACACCTGGGTTGGTGTTTGGCCTACCAGGCTTTCCCAGGGAGTTTTCCCTTGAATCAACCCCTTGCACCTGCGAGGTGCGCCGAGCTGAACGAGATCATGCAGCCAAGCAGATTCAGAAGGCCTGCAACGCGTGGCACAGGCAATGATCATCTCGAAGGATCTGTGGTTGACAGGACACCCAAGTACCCTCCATGATATATATATATATATATATTATACATACTTTTTTGTATAATTGTGTTGTATAACTCTAGAGACTCTACATATTTACATCTTTTCATTATATGTATGTATAACTGTATAGTAAAACTCTAGAGAGAGAGAGAGATATATATATATACATCATTTCATTTTATTTCTGAAAAAATATAGCAAAACTCTACATATATACAAGGTGGTGCCCCATAGTTAGCTAAGTTGGTTTATAACTCCCATAACTATGGTTTATGGTACCTATAACTATAGTTAATGGGGTTTATAAACCATCTTATAACTGGGGGGCACCATCCTGTATATAATATATATATATATATATATATGCACAAGCATGGCTAAACATCCAATTTTAGGAAGAGCATACGTTTGACCCTGACCTTTGTCTCCAGCTACCCCGGGCTTGGGCTCAGGTGATCCGGACGTATCAAAGCAAACTTCAAGCCCACAAGGTGCGAGAAAATGCTGCGAAAAAATGGGGATTTCATTGGGATTTCATAGGGATAATCAATGGGTATCATGTAAAAAAACGATGTAAAAACTGGATGAGTTTCAGTTTTCTTTGGTATCCATGAACTGATCAGAACTGGAATTGCTGGAGGATGAGGAGATATTGATATTTTTAGCCGTTTTGGTTTGCATCTCACAGGCAATCTCCATTTCATACCTTTACTTCCAGAATTTGTCTTGGTGAATCATCATTTTCTTGGTTAAATCCCAACAAAGTACTTTATTTTTCTTGGTTAAATCATGTTAAATCCCAACTTTGCTGCTTCAATCCCTATCACCGTAACTCGCTGGACATGTCCCTGGTGAGTTCTCTTGTCGAGGCCCGTCGGGAGGCCATGGAATCGACAGAAGCGGAAGAGGTCTGGGCCCCTGGGCCGCCGGTGAGGCGGCTGTGGTGGGTTGATCTGCAAGGTGAGGTGGTGTTGGGTTGGGGGGATACAACTTTATTTAATGGGTTTATAAAACAACAAGCATGGTTGATTGGGGGGATATAACTATAGACTATATATACTTAATTAATGGGTTTGTAAAGCAACAAGCATCACTGGGAGGAATCTCACTGTAGGTATCCACTTGAGAAGTCGCTGTGAGACAGCCCGGTTGATGACTTGTGAGGATGAAACAAATCAAGGTTCATTGGGGAATATCACAGTCCATGAGCAGGGAAATCCGTTCTTAACCAGCCAGTATAAAGGAACGAGGTTGCGGGTTTAGTTCACACTGCTCAGGTGAGATAGATAATAGAAATGTAAAAGATACTATAACAGGTTTTATGGAAACTTCATAACATTTTTTGATGAATGATTTAATGATCCATGTTTGATGAGTGATTTGATAATTTTGAGTGATTTGATCATTTACCCTCTGGTAATCAGTTGCGTGGCAGGAAGCTCCACCATTGAGTTGGTTTGTTTTGTTCCGCGTCAACGCGCCTTTTGGGAGACGGTTGGATTTCCCATCTCAACGTTGGATTTTCGGAGGGTAGTGGGGGACTTGTTCCTTTTTTTCTTATTTAAACATCCTTGACCTATCCCCACACGCCGCGGAAATCCTTGAGGTCAAAGAAAACCTCAGTCCAGATCTTCCCGAGGAGCAATGAGCATCCGGGCGACAAAGCGTGCATGTTACGTGGATATTTTACCATGGACATAATGGTATGCATGCACAACATTTCCCGAGAAATTAGTGTACCATATACACTCTAATACTACAATATGTTATATAGATCATTATAGATCCACCAATGATGAGGTCGGTTTCTCCTTCAAAATAGATGTAGACGCCACAAAATTTGCAGCCCATCATGGGCATCACTGGGATGTGGCAGGCTGTCCCAGAAAGCTTGGAGCTCAGTGCCACCCAAATTCCGCAAAGAACTGGCTGTTTGCAGCCCAGAAATTTCAAGAATTGAAGGGACACCCTACAGGAAAGCCCCCCAAAGGGGGTAAAAAAGTGTAAAAAACAACCAGTTTCCGCTGCTTAAGAATATTTCCCTAACAAGGTCAATCCCTTGAAGTTGTGTCAGGTTGGCTTCATAGCCACTTTTTTTTTCTTCTTTTTTCACCCTCTTTATTTACCTAATCTACACCCTTCAAACATTTTAAAGGTGGCCACGGAACAGCAGATTTCAATGCACATGTTCCCCATTTTTCCATGGATTCTTAACAAATCCTTCGGTTTTCGTGGTGCCCCGTTGTTGCGAGGCTGGGAAGGCAGCACATTTTCAGAGAAGGTGAAGCATGCGCCTCCTGCTGCTGCGGCGCCAGCGGCACCAGCGGCGCCTGCGCCGCCTGCGCCCGTTGGAGCATTTGGTTTTCGCCTGCCACCACCAGGGACCGAAGGGGACCGGAGAGTCTACCAGGGCGCCTTTGGAAGGTCCCAAAATGGGGTGGACTTTTCAAGAAAGTAGGGGCTTTGGACTGAAGATTTCATACTGAACGTGTTTCATGGAATGAGAGTTGACCGAACCATTTTTTTTGGGAGATGTTTCCTCGAAGTGCTGGCACTTTTGGACAGACCCAAGTGTGATTCTTGGTGTGGAGATGACATGCAGAACTTGAGAAGTGCAGAACTTGGGACAGCTGCCTGCGACCTGCAGGACAGTGACAAGAAGAGATGTGGGACAGGTCCCTGCCTCATGCAGAACTGGCTGTGTCTCTGTTCATGGGGGGTATTTATGACCATGTCTGAGTGGGGATCAGTAGATAAACAGAGAGGGGTTTCCTAAAACGGGGGTACCTCAAAATAGAAGGTTTGTAATTGAACATCTGAAAATAGCTTGGACACCTTCTACGTGGTGCGCGCACGGTGTGAGCAGTGTGGCGCAGCACAAGGGTCATGCCGACAGAGTCGGGTCTCCAGACAACTTGCTTTACACACACCTCAAAGGCTGCCAAAGGAGTTTGCCTTCGACAGCCTTCCATGAATACGCCACAAGCTGTGTGGACAATCATTGACAATGTGGCCGGAAGCGGCTTGACTCCAATTGCTTTGAAAGCCGCTTGAAAATCACAAAGGTCCAAACTAGACTGGTGCTAGCCAAAGACAGAAATGATGGAACAAGAAGGGAAAAGCACGCCAACACTCAGTCAGTGTGCCCCTGGTGGCTCAAGCCACACACACGCGCGCAAAGTCCTTTATTCCAACGGAGCTTGGCTGAGACCTTGTGCTCACAGCGTCAGCGTGCTGATAAAACATGCATGAGGCCGCCTCATGCGCTGAGCAGCGACAGGCAGTGGCGAAGCAAAGTTGTACAGTTCGGCCTGGGTGCCCGTTGGAAGCTAACCACATCAGCCAGTACCCGTTCGTCTTCCATGTCTTGTGGCCGATGTGAAGCAGGGGCAAGGCCTGGCCCACAAATAGTCAACAAAGTTGTGTGCGAAGTGCTGTCGCACACAGGCATCAAAGCCACCAGCCCAGAAGCCATCAACCTTGAGAACCAGTGCTGGGAACAGGGCAGCCCAAAAGTTACCATCCTAAAAAAAGGATTCGAATGTAGCAGCCACAAGGTTGTGCTTTGCCATTCGTGTGTGGCACACTGTGCCCAGGTGTTTGCAGAGGTCTTGTCCAAATCAAGTTCTGCCCGCGCCCACCAAGCGTTGGCTCCCGCTGTTGATGTGAAGTTGTTCTGACAGTGCTGACGACAGTGATGTAGACAACGCTACACAAATCCCGCAAAGAGAAAGCAATCACTATCACGATTAGCGATCATCATGACGACCCTAGTAGATGCCCTTCAGAAAGCGAAGAACCAAAGAGTAGATCATCATAGATCGTCCATAGTAGTGAAACCTAGTCTCCCGAAGATCAGCCGACTCAGCCACACTACTGGACAGTTTCGGGCCCATGGCTCGAAAATCTGAAAATAAAATAGTATGATTTGGGGGCAGCCCCGTGTTAGGAAACCGCAGAGGGGGAATTCTCATGGCGAGGCAGTGGATGGTAGGGCCCCCTGTCGACAGAGCCATACGAGGCCAATTCTTCGTGGCAGGAGGCTGAGGACCAGCACCCAGTGAGGAGCTCAAGCGCCACAAAACTGAGCTGTTGCGAATTGGCTGGCCCTCTAGATCCTTGTAGATCCTGGTAGAGTGGAGTTTCAGCTTACGATTCCATAGATCACTATTCCATAGGTCACTAAAGCCTAGCAGCAGTTGGCCTGGTTGCTCTATCTGCATTTGTGGATCTTTTGGGCACGGCCTGTTCTGATCCGCAGGTCAATCCAGCTGCAACATTCCTACAGCGCATTGGGCATGACTGGCAAGAGCCACAGGAGACGGCTCGTCCGGTTTCACTTTTCAAGTGTGGTTGAACCTCAAAGATATGGGAACCCCAAATTCTACAGTTTTTGATGAATTGCACCATGTCTTTATATGTCCACAAATTATAAACATCCCATGCATTTTGGAACACGCGACATCATATTTTTGTTTGTATTTCCTGCTATCATTGCACGGTCTTTCTACAAAATGGTTGGCTCAGCCCCTGATTTTCAAAGATTTTGCTCCCCATCGATTTTTTGGTGACTCAAGTGTAATCTTCTGCGTTCAAAAATTTTAAAATGGGAGGAAAATTGCGCGCTGTAGACTTGGTTGTTGCAGGAAAATGTTGCAGGAAAACCTGGAAGTAGGGGCTGTTGAAATTATATATACTGCATAATTACTATATTATATATATATATATATACATACACACACACTATATATATATATACACAATGCATATATGTATACACGCACACACACACACTATAAACCATGCACTATATATACTATACACTATATACTATATACTTTATACTATATACTATATACTACATGTCTATTTCTTGGTTGAATCGCCCAAATCTGGAGATTTGCCCATTTCTGTTGCAGGAGCCGCCGCCGGAACCGCCCAATGATGCCTGGAACGCCAGCGATTTCCTGGCTCCACCGGTGGCCGCGGGGGGCCCGAAAAACCCCGGGGGTTTTGGCAGCGAAAAGGTGGGGAATACCATGGGATATTCCCCAAAAAATGGACCATAGAAATAGTGGATTTTCCCATGAAACATGGTGATTTTCCATAGTTATGTTAGTTTACCAGAGGATATTGGTGCTGTATCTTTAGTTATTTTCACAAACTAGCAGTTTGCTATTGAAAATGGCCCAGTCGAAATAGTGGACTTACCCAGCTATAAAATGGTGGATCTTTCCATAGTTACGTTAGTTTACCAGAGGGTAATATCATGGGAATACCATGAATATCAGGATGAAGCCCCCTTTTGATGGAAATCTGGGGATATCGATATTTTTGTTGGTTCATGGTGACTAGTTATTCAAGAATCCCAGTATAATAATCCCAGTTATAGTGGAATATAGTTTTGTTGAACAATGGTTACAATCGACTGTTGGTCAGTGACTACTTACCCTCTGGTAAACATACAAAAACTAAGGAAAACCACAAATTTTAATAGGTAAATCACCTATTTCTATGTGCCATGTTCAATTACCAGAGGGTAGTGGTCAATCATCAGCAGTTGATGTGGTAACGTTAATAATAAACCCTATTCACCACCAATTTGCGTTTTTTTTTTAAAACATATTTTTATATCATGCCAATTAGGGGTATACCCAAGAATAGACCTCTATTGGGATGTTTTTACAATTTTCTTATTGGGTCTACCTCATTATCAATCATCATCCATCGTGGTTAATAGTGTTTTTATAATAACTATGAATGGTTGTATGAATAATAGTTATTGTAGCCATTCATGGTTATTATAATGTAACGGCCAATAACTATGAATATTGTAATGGCTACTAATGGCCAATAGTGGTTTTAATGAAAGCGCGTTGCCAGAAGTAAAATGGTGGAATGCAGGGGATGAAATCACGTATGATTTTGGCTGAACCTTAGGCCTTAGAATCTTTTTTGGGCTGAACCTTCTGCGGGTGATAAGAAACGATACCATTTGGGCCACTGCGCGCACTGTATAAAAAACATCGAAACATATGCAGAAAAGAAAACCATAAACATCCGATGTATACAAAATAACAGTACATTCTTGACCTCTTCTGCGTCTCTTCATGAGGATCACTTTTAAATCACCATTGATTGATATTCTCCATTTGTTTGGGCGTAAAATTGGGTAATCTCGCAGAAAAGTCTGATGATTGACCACCTGAGACTCGAAAGTGGATGATCTCAGCGACTGGTTTGATACTCAAAACGGCAAGATTTTTGTAGGTCCCATTTTCACGTAAACGCCCTGACCCATATCCAAGTAGCCTAGCACGTGCCTTGATCCAGGAAGACATCCTAGGGATTTCACCAAAAATCAATTTCCAACAGGGTCCCATTGGAAAACCACAGGAAATTTGTGATTTAACCAGCAAAAAACCACAATTAATGGTGATTAATGGTGATTAATCCACGATTACCCTCTGGTAATTTGTTACATAACTCTTGAACATGTCCATTGAAATAGTTGAATTATCCTATGAAAAGTGGAGATTTTCCATAGTTCTTTTGTATGTTTACCAGAGGGTAGCTGGGTTGGCGATTTAAAGACAGTTTTGAAAAAGACCCATAGAAATGGGTTGAGGATCTCCACCAGCTTAGGTTGATGAGCCACAGAGGAGAACTCGGGCGACTCTGGGCGTCCCGGAAACTATGCCCCAGGGCGTTTACCGTTGGTATTGGATGTTGTTCAATGGTCATCTTGGAGACAATGACCATGTTGTTCAATATTTTTGACTCATTGACTATACCCCAAGTTCTGGAAGAACATCTTGGATTTTTTTGAAAGAACAACATCCAATACGGTCCAATACCCCAAAAGAGATCCGGAAAAACGGGTAGATTGAAGGTCCCAAAGCAGATTGAATTTTCCTTCATAAATTCATCTTTCCCAAATGGATGGTTTAGTATTGGATATGACCAGCCACAAATGTCGCTGTGACCCCAACATCAAGGATTTGCTCTTATGAAAGCAAACCACACAATTTTTGCGGTGACATACCAAGTCGGACCACTAAAGATGGTAAATGTGGTAAACCTCAAAAATTAATACGTCATCCCATCCAGCAACCATGACTGGGGCCATTTTATAGGCATCATGAGCATTGCCAATGGCTGGGGTATAGCCAATGTCATAAACCGCAATTTCGATGGCTTAATATTAGGTTTACCACACGATCAACCATTATGAACCGGTGATTCTTCATTAATAGTCTGGTTGGTGGTTTGGAACATGAATGTTATTTTTCCATTCAGTTGGGAATTTCATCATCCCAACTGACGTTCACTCCATCATTTTTCAGAGGGGTAGGGCTCAACCACCAGCCAGTAGTGGTTAATCATCATTTACCATCATTAATCATCATTAACCACCATTAATCACCATAGGATATCCCTATATTAGTTTTTGTTTTGGGTAGTTGGGGTGCCAGTAGTGGTTAATCATGACCATGAAGGGTTTTACAATGGCTATTGATGGCTAAGAATGGTTCTAATCATCCCATCCCCTGGTAATAGTGGTTCATCATGGCTTTACTCTTGGCTTCTTACCACACGATCGACCATTATGAACCTGTTTTTCGTGATTATACATGGTTAATAGCTGTTAATAGCGGTTAACAATGGCTATGAATGCCTATGAATGGTTATGAAAAATTATATAGATATACATAATATATATATATTTGTTTATTTATCTATCTATCCATAGATAAATTATATGTATATATATAGATAATGGCTATGAATGGCCCTTATGTGGTTTTACCCACATGTCTCTGGCTCCAAAAACAATCGCTCAACAGGAGCGCGGCCGAAAGCCCAGAGCTTCCCATTGAAGCTGCGCCAGAGGTGACCATCGAAGCTGAGGCGGGGGATGATGGTGGATCCAGTGTTTGTTGTGACGAAATCAGAACGACCTCACTGGGGGTAACCACTATGTTCACTATAAAATTAACTATTATTAACCATTGTTAACTATTATTAACCATCTATGAACCATGATTAACCAT